TGAAGGAGAAGGCGGAAGTACAGATGGAGGCAGAGATGGGGCGGCGATGGTTAGGGTGCGAAGGCGGAGGCGGAACTTGTGAGGAGTCGAGGGGAGGGAGGGGGAGGGGCGGTGGCGAAGGTGATGGGGCGGGCAAGGCGGTGAGGGAGCGGACGCGGGGTTGGCGCCGTGGGCGGCCGTGGGGCGGGGGGGGGGCGGACGTAGGAAGCAACACGCGCCAGTCGGTAGTCGCTGAAGGTTCAGGGCGGCTGCACCGAAATATACGGCTGGGTCGCTGCCAGCCACCTTGGCTCCCGAGCAAAGCCTGTGAAGTGAACTGCGTGAATATGTTACGAGGAACCGTTGGACTTTGAACAGGCGGAGTTATTCCCAACTTCGAGGTTTTCTTTCCGTTTTAACTGCCGCTCGGGGCAACTAATCTCCTCTATCGAGATCAAAATCGTCCTATTAAAGCAAAGAAGATGTAGATCTCGTTGGATTTATTCATGAAAATGATGAACATTTCTTTAACAAAAAAATATACGGCGTGCTCGAAATTGAAATTAGAATGCAATATATATTTTGTTAAAGCAAAGAAGAAAAGTGTACACTTGTTTTTCTGGATCTGACTCAGTGCTGCTCAGTAGAAAAACACACTGAATCAGCTATTAAGTTTGTTTTTATACCTCGAAATGGATCATTTTTTCTCACAACTTTTACAATTATCACAAATATTTTCCATTATTATTATTATTATTATTATTATTATTATTATTATTATTATTATTATTATTATTATTGAAGATTTATAACTAGGTCTAGTATGGTAAGAGGTAGTATGTGGGATAGTGGAATTTGTCGTGGGCATTTGGAACCACCCCAGCATTCTCCTTGTGACAGAGGGAACCACGAAAACTCCGATCAGGATGGCCGGCCCGGGGATCGACCCCGGACTTCCCGATTGGGAGGCGATCCAGCACGCTACGCTGAGCCACTTTGCTCAGATTATGATTATTTCATTTTTATTTTTATTTTTATTTTTATTTTTATTATTATTATTATTATTATTATTATTATTTTGACTATTACTATTATTATTATTAACAATATTAAATCGCATTGTGGCCAATTTAAAAATTGCAATGAGCTTCAGTGATGGGGAACAAAGATGGCTCCGGGAGCTACATTTTATGCGGTGTCAAAGTGAGCCATCCCAGTGAACTGGAGGCGTAACGGCAAACCCCTGCCCAGAGAGCACGTCCGCCCGCGCGTGCTGGCTCCTAAAGGGCTGCAAAAAGGGCGCGACTTCGATTCGGCTAGCTCCGGCGCCTGCTGCCAGGCCACGGGGCTGCACTGTGCTCCGCTCGCCTTCGAAGTGGGCGAAGGAGCGCTCTGGCGAGTGGAAAAGCGACCTGTCAACAGCAAGAGATGTGGAAAGACGGACCCCAGAGGACATGGCTCTGTTGTGTTTCGAGGCAGCATCAACGGGCAGAGGAGCACTCGCGTAATGCGTGATGTTTGCCTGTTCCGATAGTCTTATCACAATGAAGTCAGCAACAAAGCACTGCTATTATCACTGCTATACATTATTAAAATTTAGTAAGAGGGGTGTGCTATCCTGAAATGGATCGGTAGTCCCATCACGAGACACACACTACGGCTCATATCCCTTCATCTCGGAATTCCTGGATGGAATCATTAATTAATTAATTCGTGTTTCCAGACCTAATGTCATTAATCCCGTAAATGCAGGGCATGTTGTTGTCCTCGAGATGTGGTGGTGCTCTTCCCCCCCTTGATGGTGAGATATTCGACCTACTGCCGTGTAGCGGGGTTTTCCCCAACCAGGTATGTCCCACATCCGCTCCTCCCGCCCCCTGCCGAGACAAACTGTAAGCTCCCGGCTGGTCTTGCGATATGAAGTGTAGTGAATAAGTGTGGCTATAAGTAAGGGGTGAAGATGAGACAAGGAAGAGGAAGGAAAGATAGCGCGCGGTTGGTGCCGTTTGTTAGGATACTGCTCCGGTATTCGCCTCGTGTTCTTGGGAGAAAAGCATGGAAAACTACCAATCAGTGAAGCCGGCCGCTAGAATTCACCTCCAGAGCGGCCGATCTCGATCTGGCTTGTACAAATATCTATAGCTAGAGTAAAAAATTATGCCACCGTCGGGACACAAATCTTGGGATCTGCCGGTCATAACAGGTCGTGCGTTATAACATATAATAGGTCGTTCGTTCTTGAGCGATGCTCATATTTAAGTACTGAAGAATGCTTAATCTGGTTTTGAAAACTCAAGAGTTCATCCACAAATCTTGCATCTCAGTTGAATTGCTTGTGAGTGGTATATACTAAATTTAATACTATTAATGTGTTTTTATTGATTTTTTTTATAATCAGAGAGTACCACGCTGGGGCGCGAGACTCTTCAGTTGATTCGCCAAGTAATTTTGTACCAGCAAAATGCGAAGGGCGTAACTTGTTGCCACCTCCCTTGTAGTAATTTTCTTAGTTGAAACCTACGATCCTGATTATTGAGAGTAAAATTCTGGAAACAATCGTCACTGGGCGACGACAAAGGTTTAGAAAAGAATACGGTAGGTAAGACAGATAAATGTGAGAAATTACCTATCATCAAATGTCAGAAAAATATTGAAGAAAAATATGAAATGGGAGTGTTTTTCATGCCGGATAGGGGTTCATCAGTTCTTATTCCATAAGTAACCGCTCCTTGTACGTGATTTAAATTATTGCAAATATTGTGCCAGTAACTAATAATATAAGACATGTAGAGAATATTTCCCTTTACGGATCTGAGGTATGGGAAGTAACAAAACAGAGCGAAAAGAAATTGAAAGCAATGGAAATGGACTTCTGGGGCCGAAGTTGCAAACTGACTTTAATGGATAAAGTTAAGAACGAAGAAATTAAACGTAAAGCGGAAGTATGTTTTAATATAATTGACACCTTGCAAGTGAAAATACTGAAATGGTAAGGGCACTTTCAAAGAATGAACGAAGAACGTTGGCTGAAAATATTGTGGAAAAAGCAACCAGCTACCCATTGGCGCGGTGATGGTGTAATGGTTAGCGTATCGGATCGATCGCAGCCGTGGATTTTTAGGCGAAAGGGCGAAAAAATCCTTCGTACGGTTTTCTTTGGAGGGGATGTAAAGCCGGCTGTCCCACGTTAGTAGATTTACTTGCATGAAAAAGATCCTCAAGCCTAAATGACGCCTCTGAGCTAAATTCAAATAGTCTATTTCTCGCCCAAGAAATACCTCCTTTCTCTGCTAGTTGGTGAAAGGATCGTAGCGAAATTTTCGTGATCAGACGGAAGAGCAGGCCTCATTGCCTGAGCCTCGCAAAATAAGGCAATTGAATTCAATTCAATTCAATTCAATCGACGAAGAGGAAGACCTAGACTTAGAGGTGAAGAGAGGATTGGGTAACTAAGACCGATAGATGTAGGGGCTGGAATGCGAGAGACATCCTAGGGTGTAATGTAACTCGATATAATACTACTACTATGATGGATTATGAATGATATGCTGGTGTATGGAGGATTTGAGCGTTCGGCGAGCCTTTCGCAAAGCGAGTGTCGGGCGTCGCCTCTGCGAGCGAATCCTTTGCGAACGGCGAGTCGCAGATGGCACAGGGGAGCGGCGCGGGACGGCGCGGGTCGGCGCAGGGTGGAGGCCAGGCGTTGACCCGGCATTGGCCCGCGTGGCGCGTCAGCCCGCGCCGCGGAGAGGTCGCCTTCCGCTTCCGGCGCGCTTCTCATTTGACTCCGTTTGCCCTCCCTCCCCCCTCCCTCGCCCTCCCTTCCCCTCCCGAGGTCGTCGGGGAAAGGCTCCGCCGCCTCTCACTCGACCGAACGCATCGGCATTGTGGTAGGCCTTGCGTGGTTTTTATGAGGCTGTTTGCAACCAAACAAAACAATCCTTTTCAAATCCTCCGGCACAGCTACAATGTGATCTGGCTGACGCCACCTTACGAGACAGGCTCATCTGTTTGTGGACCTTGAATTTTTATGAATTATCTATAGTATGTTTGAACTCTTTTGAGTTTATTTGGTTTAATCTGTTATTACTTGTAGGTTAAGTGAAAGTAAAATTCGGAGTGTTTTGTATAAACAAGACGAAGAAGCGAATTACAAATTTTAAATTCATAAAATTTTAACTCATTTAAGATGTACGAGAGTTGGTGAGTGTCAAAAGCTATCAACAGTTGATTTATTTTCGATATTAAATCACTGTATTAATTTAATTACTGGAACGTTAATATTTTCCGTGATGAGTGACAGTTCTATCGATTTGAACATTACAAGGACGGCATATTAAACAGTTTTGAATTTGTGCTTCCAATCTTGATCTACCTTGTGAACACATTTTTATTTAATATCGTTCTATCTACTTACGATGAAGGGTAGCATACTAATTGTATTAAAGTTAAGTGGAGCACAATCTACATGATCACACTACCAAATTTCGTAAGTATCTTCTTCCAATCGGTTTTGTTGTCAGCGTACTTTCCAAAACTCCAACCATAATTTTTAGTTTATTGAATAAATGCCAATCTCACATATTCAAAATACTATATTAGGTACTGGTTGCTCTTATCTGAGTTCTATTACATTAGTTTTCAATTTTATCACGTAGGCCTACGTAACACACATTCGTTACACTGGTTTTAAATATCTCTGGCGAATGGTGACAGTGTTCAGCACGATGATATTCCAACAACGATATAATATGCAATTTACCGTTATTCGTCTTATAAACGAGATTAATCAGTCATATTTTCTTAGGTTATTGTGTATAGAGGGGATATTATACAAATAAAATAAATTGTTTTTCATGTGTAAATTTAGACACTTCTTTTGGTCAGTAAACTAAAAATATGTTTGTCAATATCATAGTCGATGTTTGTCATTGTCGATGTCATCAAATTCATGGTCGATGTTTGAGTTGAAATTTAATATACTCTATGAATATTATTAATATATTTTTTTACTGTTGCAGGTGAGTTGCATAAATCGACAAGGATTTCTTCCGTGCATTCTCAAGTAAGTGGAAGAAATCCCGTCACGTCACTTTTTACCACAGTTAGAAAACTCATTCCGTACATCGTTATAACATTCCCGAAGAAGAAAAACAAAATAACATGGAGTATTAAAGAAATTTAATTAGATGCACCAGAGGTTATTCATTATACTAAGCAATCCCTCGAACCAAGTAAAGATATTCCGTGCAGTCTCTCCTAATGTAATAGAACTCACAACAATAATTCTGCTGCCCGGTAATAAATTGTGCATAATACTAGAAAATATTTTGTAATGAAATGAGACCAATTGAAGCATTGAGAGTAACAAATCATTAATAGTTCACCAGTCGTAAGTTATTTTACATTTACAATTCTTGAACGAACGGAACATTTTTTCTAGTTTCCTGATCTGATCATTTATAATGTTTATTTTCTGATGGAATTCTACAAAGATTAAAAAGTCATATTTATATTGATGTAGGAGTGTAACAATCTGAACACTTTTCAAATGATGTATGCTCCGCGTTTACAAATCGACAACCGTCATGATGACATGAAATAAAACATGAAAATACTTGAAAACTGTGAAAATACTTTTTCTACAAATGCTGCAATCCACCGTTTTCGTCTCTCTTCACAAAGAAAACTCGACGACAAACACCTGGACGACAAATGGAACCCGATAACTCAGGCGTCGACCGGCACGAGACCTGGAGTGGCTGAGATTCGAGGAGCATGGAACGGCATGGAACACGGCTTCACGATGTCACGACACACGACACGGCAATTCCCGGCTCTGGGGTCGTCGTGGGTTGCGAGGCGAGGTACATAGAGAGTAGAGATCAGCAGGAAGCGGAGGACTTGGAACGGAGATCATTCTTCAGCCAGTGGCGCTCTCACCGCCTGATGCTGCCACCCGCCCGATCGCGCGGGCCGAGCAGGTGGGGAGGGGCGGGGGCGGGGCGGGGAGGGCGAGGAGGTGCCTCTCAGTCTGACGCCCGCGTGACGGTCCCCGCCCGCCCCGCCCCACGCACGTCGTGGCGCCGTGATAGCCTTGAAATTGGACTTCTCGCGCCCACGCCCGCCCCCGCCCGTGACCGCCACGGCCGCAAAAGGGAACGACGGAACCTCCAAACCAGAAAGTCTATCAAAGATCTGATCTAATTTTAAAAAAGATCATAAATGCATCGTATGAGGAAAACTGCAACATCAAGTGATGGCGATACTCTCGAAAACAACAATCGCCAATTTTCGTGATTTTATTACGAAAGCCAAAACTTATTTGACCAACGACCTTACCACTTTGACAATTTGTTATTCGTTTCTAAGATTATTTTGATGAATAAGTTCACATTTCCATTTAGTTTTAAAGAAATTAATATTAAGATTGCATGATTGGGATTTGAAGTATGGATATTGCTGAGTTTTAAATACCTGCACGAATATTGCCAAGTTTGAAACAACTTTTGAAAAGTAATGGGTTTCTATTAATTTTATTTTTATTACAAATAATAACAAGTTTTCGAAAACGTTTAAGAAATCTAGGATAATATATTGGTAGGTTTCATTTTCATGATTACGTACAACCAAAAACGGAAAGAAATGGAAAACTGGAGACTGGTGGATTTAAAACTTCCCCTCAAGTCTTAATAAATTTGAAATTCTTGTTATCATTTTTTTAATTATCGTAATCGGTCTCAAGACTTTTGTGTGTCGGTTAAGAAATTGACCTACTGTAGTATCTGTAGTAACTTACTGTCAGATTATGGGATGTCCAAAAATTAGCCCATAAATCATTAGTATAGTTCAATATTTGCTGACATTACATTTGCCCCAAAAAGTCGGAATATTAAATCGAGTAGAATTAATTCACCTACCTCTTAGTTCATTCATAGAGTAGAAAGTTCATGGAATAGAAATTACCTCTCGTCCTCTAGACACGGACACGCTCTAAACTACTTCCATATTGAGAAAAGCAGCGTAAGGTTTCATTCTGAGTCAGCCATGGAGAAGCAAAAATATCCGCTGATCACATTACATCCAAGCAAGGAGTCACATAAATCTTGTTTCTAAAAGAGGGGCGGCCATTATTTTAAAAAAAATCCCCTGTAAATAGTCTAGTAGTTACTGACACAAAACACGCATGTGAAAACTAACGATAAGAGTCACTTACAAGAAGCATGAGACTTGTAAAACAATCTATAAGTTAATGATGAAAAGTACCAACATTGTGAATTGATTCTTGGGCCATAACGACCAATTAATTATTAATATTCACTAACGCCTTCTAGTGTCTTGATGAGAGCGCCCAAGCCCGCGACGTATGTTCCATCCATACGCACTTGTCCCTGGAGCAACATGCAACACATGGCGCCTCGCCATCCCCACATCTCACATCTCTCCTCCCCGTCCTTACTTGTACCGTCTTAGGAAGCCCAGGGCATTGAATTATAGAGACTCTGATCGGAAGGTGCTAGGCTTCAAGTCCCCGACTACGGCAGAATTTTCGGCAATAGCCTCACAGCTAGGTCGATTTCTGTCTGGAGAATTCAAACGACCAGCTGCTCTGATCGGTAGTTTTGTGTGGTTTCTCTGTTATCTCCACCCCAAAGCCGGACCAAGCCCCTAACTAACGACCCGCAGACCGCGCGCCATGTTTCCTTTCCTTTCTCTTCCAGATTTTATTTTCACCCCTTACACACACTTACACTTACTCGCACTACACAACCACACATGTCGGGATAGCAGTCGGGATAACAGCTGAGGTGGTGCTTCGCTGGTGGGAGACACCTCATGGGAGAAAATCCCGCAAGCCGACCTTTAGGTCGGCGCCGGATCTCACCATCCAGCGAAGGTACATCTCCGCCACCTCCCAGGATAAACACATGCGCTTCAATTACGGGACTAATTACAATAATAGTTGTCGCACCCGGTAACGAAATAATCCATCCACAGTCCCTCCTTGCCCTCTCACCTCCTCATTCCGCTTCTGGCTAACCTCCGCCGCCCCGCCCCAAAGGGTTTTACGAGCACATTCGCCACATTCCACTTTTCAGTTTCTCTGAGAGAACAAAATGCGATTTGCATTCAGCAAACCATTCCCCCTGCAAGTGAATTCACAAGCATGGGCACAAAGCACATAGGCTCTACATTGTACGAAATTTGCAACTGATCATCCCCAGGATATATTCCATGTGATTTTCTCCAGGATCTATCTTTGGTGAGAGGAATGACGGGAAACTATTAACGGAGCAAACCTGACCTGATATGACCCAGCAAAAGTTTCAGTTCACTGCAGCGGCGCGGCAGACACTTGAAGGGAAAATCTCCAGGCAAAAAGCTTCCCGAAGCGAAATGAATACCACAGAAGACTTCCCAAAGAACAGGTTTCTCGCTGTAAATTCATATCACTGAAAATTTATCAGCCGTGTTATGTCTCGTACTTGTCAATATTCGATAGGCATCTGTTTGGAAATGCAAATGTGCGCAACCCCGGAAGACAAGTGCCTGTCGGGATGCGGGCGGCGCGGGACCGGTTCGGAAGCCTTGCGACCACATCAAATCCCACAGCCTCATTTGCCTTCCTAATCCTCCGAAGCTGGGAGATCGTGTAGAAACGGATCCTATATCATAACTTTCACTCATCGATTTTACTTGCGAGCGATCAGCTACAAACGAGGATGCTAAAGTCTCGTGGAATTATATTTATAACGGTGTCTCTGAATGTAAATATTACCATTCCAGACAGTTATTTCCCTTTTGTAAAGGAATATAGTATCCAAGAAGGTTGTCAATATTTCATTCTTCGCTGAATGCTTCGTATATTTTCCTCGTTATTCTTCTTCAAAACGCAACATCAGGAAGTAATCACACATTAAAATGTTTCTTATATAGGTAGCCTCTCAATGGTGCAAGTTTTCTTGACTGTGAAACTGGCATAATACTGTATTTGATCAGTCAATTTGCTTAATTTGAAAATTAGTAGTTCTTGAAATCATTACAGCGTCAGTGATGCGTCCAATACTAAAAGAATATTTCGAAGAAGAGGAAAAACTCACAGACGAATGTCGATTGTTTTCATTCAATTAACACTTATCTGCCTCGCGTTCCCATATGAACACGTTGTACGAATCTGTAGATAGTTCAAACTTTCACCTAAAAATTTGCAGTAATGCAATTGGAACTTCATGTTCGCCATAACATCCTAACAGGTGTTACCATGTGCATTTCAAAATTTTGAGGCAAAAAAATTCAATTCTTTGTTTTAAATTATACAATGTTTTAATGAAATTTTAAAAAATTCACACAGATAAGGGTTAATGATTAGCATTTAAATTATTGGTTATCTTAATATTTTCTACTAATTTTTACATTCTCGCCCTTCAAAAGACGTCAGAGTACTGTAATTCTGCGGGAAAAACCGGCGATTATTGAAATGCCTATTGCCACGATCTGGCAACGAGAAAGTAAATAAATCTCATTCCTATTTGTAGTAAATTACTTTCTCCAACACGTTCTGTCGTCAGAATACATGTTGTGTAGGTCTTTGATACTGAAAAATCGACTGATGGCAAAAGTCCGTCCGACCGTCCGTCCGACCGTCCGTCCGACCGTCCGTCCGACCGTCCGTCCGACCGTCCGACCGACCGTCGTCAATACTAGTACCAAAACAGTTCAGCCAATTTTCTGAACCTTTGATATTCCTTGATCGATTTAAAAGAACTCGAGGCTCTGAGGTAGACACATTTTGAATTTTTGGGGATTCTTTACATCAAGCTTCAACAAGAATTTTAAAAATTTCTCAAAAATGGCTACAATTTATTTTATTAAACGTCGTCTTCAGACAGCGTAAAGGACGCTTCAAAAAAGGCGCAAATCTCATTTTCGTTGAAATCCTTGATATTTTTGAAAATTTCAAAAGTTCCAGAATTTTTTTGGCGTTTTCCCGCAATTACAACATTGAACAAAGTACTTCATTAAAAAACCTTCAAAGACAGGTCTTGAAATATGACCACATGTATAAGTTTGAACATGTGAGTCTTTTTGAATAATTTTGAGCGATATGTAGTTTTTAAATTTTAAACAATTATTATCTCAAAAACAGTTCAACATTTCTTTTTTTAAACTTTTATCCTCGTATGTATCAAAGGACGGTAAAAACGTGGTGCTAGTTTCATTCCAGCAAAATCTCTGTAGTTTTGAAAATGACAAAATAGTGCAAAAACTTTATACTCCAAAACCACAAAATTGAGTATTTATTTTTTAACATAAAAAGAAAAATTTTTGAGTAATTTA